TATGGAGGAAAAAGTAAAAAAATGAGCCATTTGGCGGTCAAAAATGATCATTAGACATATGCTCATCAAATTATCAGATATTTTATAGAGATTTTAACAATAAGTATGAATTTGGTTTACAGTCCTATGGGTTCCGTACCAATGCTTATGCGTTAGACAGCGACGCGGCGCTTACGCGCTTTATATTTTGTCCCTATGCAGTTAAAGCAGTACGATTGATTTGAAAAGAAAGTTCAGACCTTTCACAATATGTCAAAATAAAAAAAAAAAATTTTTCAAAAAAAAAAAAAAAAAAAAAAAAAAAAAATTAAAAAAAAATTTTTTCAAAAAATAGTAATTTTTTGTCCAATTTATAGTTTCTCAAAATCTTATTTTTTCAAAATAATTTTTTTTTTCAAAAATGTTAATCGTTTTTAAAAAAATAATAATTTTTGGTACGGGAAGTTCCAGCAATTTGCCTCAAGGCACGATGCCTTAATTGCCTTAAGACAGAATTCCACTTACAGCTAGTTTGTGTATATGTTACGGTAAAAGTAAATATTGGGGCAAATGTAAATATTAAAAAATGAAAATTCAACTTAGAGTTCATCTTACACTTACAACTTGAAATGAGAGAAATGTGGATTATATTCACATTGACCGTGTCGTTTTGGTACATATGGAACATATGTGATACCAAATAGCATAGTAAATACCAAATTGAAAATTTCTTGATGTAATTTAAGATATACAGAGAAATTATTTGTTTTATTTCCATCGCATTGGTTCTGAAAACTAGGTTGAAAATTAATATGCGAAGAAAAGTATGTTGCGTTTGTCATTCACATTTTCAATTTAAAATAATTTTTGTTATTAAAGTCTTTTTCTTTAGGGTAAGGCGCAGTGTAAAGGTCCAATTTGACCATGACCAATTATATTGTGCAAACCAAACCAATTAAATAACAAAAGCAAAACAACTATCTTATTATGTTCAGTAAAACTGCCAGCTACTTCACCATTGTAGAAATGTGTTCTTTTCACAATTTTTCAAAAATTGTAACCCTTTAAGCGGTATAAATTGGACGACCAGGCGACTAACAGGTCTAATGTTCAATTTCAATTTTAAAGGTATTTTGTAAAAGGGATTTGGTATTTTGTAAAAAAATATTCATTAGCAGAGTTGGAATAACTATTTATTTAATGTAACTTTTGTAAAATTGCTTTATTTAACTTAGTTTATTTTTATTCGCTTTTTTATTTTTTACACTTTTGTTATTGTAAAGATTCAGTTAGTTCTTCTTACCTCATCCAGATGTGAACTTTTTATCTTACCCAGTGCGAGCTCTATTTATTAAGGTTATATAAAAAAAGGCCAAATCTAAATTAACGGGAACGTTACATCTTTAAAACTAGTGGGGCGCATGGCATCGTGCCTTAAGGCAAATTGCTGGAACTGCCCGTACCAAAAATTATTTTTTTCAAAAAGATTAACATTTTTGAAAAAAATTTACTCTGAAAAAATTAGATTTTTGAGAAACTATAAATTTTTGACAAAACTTTACTTTTTTTTAAAAAAAAAAGACTTTTTGAAGAAAAATTTATTTTGAAATATTTTGGAAATTCTGAACTTTTTTTCAAAGCAATCGTACTGCTTTAACTGCATAGAGACGAAATATCGAACCGCGTAAGCGCCGCGTCGCCGTCTAACGTATAAACATTGGTACGGAACCCATAGAAATGGAATACAAAATTTATACTTATTGTTAAAATTTCAATAAAACATCTGATAATTTGATGTGCATGTGTCTAATGATCATTTTTGACCGGCAAATGGCATTTTTTTACTTTTTTACTAGATCTCCGAAACCGCTAGACCTGCCTTCATGAACTGAGTTACTATTTTTAGCACTTTTTGCCCCGTATCTTTGGAACGGGTATAGCTGCCTTTGCCAAAAACTAATCAACACTTCTCCTTATCAATACGAATCGAATGTTTTTTGAATTATTCAAATCGCTTCATCCGGGTTCCCGAAATCGTCGACGAAAATTTGTATCCAAACACACACACATACACGTACACACACTCACACATACATACACACATACATCCATTTTTTCTAAGGTATGCCAAAATATTCAGAAGGTTTTAAAACATAAAAATATATGAAAATTTTCATTTTCGATTTTTTTGCGATTACTATAACTTGCCCTACGGGAAGTTAACAATTAAATAACTATAATTAATAATTAACTAACAATTAACTAACTTATAATGTAAGGGTCTGGAAAACTAAATGTAAATGTACCTAACGTTTTAGTAAATGTACCCATTCTTGGGTAAAATTGCACACAAAACTCACTAATTAGTTGCTGTATATTTGACATCTTTCGATACTATTATTTTTACGAACAATTCTCATAGCGTCCTGCTGCCCAATGTGCTGCTTGCTCCTGCTCGGATTTGTTGGTTGCCAACGGAGCGCTGCCGTTGCTCTGATGGCACTGGCGGTTACAACTAAAGGAGCAATGTTTAGTGGATTCCTTGCAAATCATATAGATCTGGCACCAAATTATGCAGGTAAAATTTCTTAAGCAATCAATATCCATTATTATCATCAGTCCCCATAGAGACCTCATTCAATTCTATGGACAACCTAAGCAACCTAAGCAGTCGTGATATTCATTTTTGCCTATTATATATATATATATATATATATATATATATACAGTGACTCACAAAATTGATCAAATCGCATATTATTAGCAATTGATAACCTGTTTTTTCATATTTTAAATACTTAAATTACAAAACTCTTGCTGCTGAGTTAGAGTAGGAATTGAGTGAACATGCCAAAGTAAAATAAGTAGATCTTTTTTTTGAGAAAAAAAAAGCAAACAAATACTTTTTAAATACATTTGATTAATATTAGTTTTGATTTAATGTAGTCTACTGCAGTCATTTTCCCTTATATTTTCTTTATTAAACCAACCTCTTTTGACATAATGCATTCCCATATCATTATACTTCTACCAGTGAATTGAATCTTTAATTTAATGCCCTAGGGGAAGTTAATAATTGAAATTGAATAGCTTTATAGTGTATCGATCATATGTTAGATTTAATATAGTTTAATAAGTTCATTTGCTGACTTATCAATTTTATCTAACTGCTTTTTGATAGAATCTGCTTCTTTTTCAACATTATCCATTTGTGATGACTTTCATTTAATTTCGTTTCTTAAAGCCGCCTGCAAATATAAAAATTAGGTTTAGATAAAAAGATTAATTTAATAATTTAATGATTCAGATTATATTTAGATAAAAAATTATCACAAAGATATATTTATTGCGTACCTGATTATTTTTTAATTTATTTAATTTTTCTTGATGTTTACTATCCTCTCTGTCAACATTATAACATATTTCTTCTAGTTCATGTTGCATGCGTGTTATTTTATGTTTTACCGAATTCATTGTATTATGAACGTCTTCTTATGGAATTATGGAATTCTTATTTCTGGTTGCTGTTCGAATCAATAAAACAAATCAGTCACTTAAAACATCATGAGATACTAAAATATATGTTAAATGACCAAAATTTTCAATTCTCCAAAGAGAAGTTTGTTTTCTTGCCAGAAAATCCAATTTGTTATTTCTCTGTTTTCTAGATTTTTTAAGTATGCACTTCTAAATTGTTTGATACCGAAAATGGAAAATGAGTGGGCTGAGCCCCCCCATCAAAATTTATGGGTGGACTCAAGCCCACACAGCCCACACGGTTCCGACGTCACTGTGTAGAACATAAATGCAAATATAACTTTCATGTAACAGTATATATTGTTAAAACAAAAAAAAGTGAAAAAATAATCGCCAGTAATGTTATAGTTTTGATGGTACTGGTAGAGTTATTATATTTAGAAACTGAAGAAAGTAATTAAGTTTTATCTTTGGATATTTTTAATTACAGAAAAGTTAGTTTTTATATATTTGCATTACAGCCTTTCTATGAAAATAAATATTGACAATTTTGTTATAATGTATTTTTCATAATTAGGTCATCAACGAAATTAGCTGTCTTATCTATATGTAGAAATAAATTTTATTAGGTCATTTTAGTAGGGCCTTTGGTTCTTCCTTGTCACAGTTTTACCTTCTACATATTATGAAGGCTGATCTATATTTTTTGAGTTTAGTGATCGATCTACTATAAATTTTCTGTTTAAATAGTTTTGAGAAAGGCTTCGGATCTTTCTAACTTAATTCACCATAGTTTCAGCCAATTTACTAGAAACCCTGTACTGGTAACTTTTCTGTTTGATGATCTCAAGGTTTTGGTAAAAAAAATCTTGGTGGGTGATTTGGATTAGATGACATGGCCATCTTTTTATGTGTTCTGACTAAAGTCTACTATTCATCTAGTTTTCAAATTTATTAAACTAAAGTCAAGTCTATAAAGAAGACTCTTTAAAAAGTTTAAGTAAATCGGTTCAGTAGAAGTTGAAAAATCGTTGGTATCGTATCGAAAACAGTTGACGAAAAAATGCGTGAAAAGTATTGCAGAGGTAGATATAATAGAGGAGAATTATCGTGGTCAAACAGCTAAATCTCCAAAAATAAATAAAAATTTGTTGTACACATATTCTTGAATTGCGAAGATTTAAAATTATGCAAAAAACAAAATCGACTTTTTTTGAATTTAATTTAATTTTTGGTACAGGAAATTCCAGCAACTTGCCTTAAGACACGTTGTCATGCACCACTAGTTTATATTTTGAGTGAACGTAAAATAGTTGTATCATTTATCAACATCAAATCCAATGTTTCATAATATTTGTGAATGAATGATTGCTGAATAAATTCATTATAGATGCAATGGCAGTATACACGCGAGGCGTATAACTTAAACTATATAATATCCACTCAAAATTGCTTTGAGATATTTTTATATTCCTAATTCAAATTAATTTTTATTAACAGGAACCATGATGGCTGTAACAAACACATTAGCCACTATCCCAGGAATATTAGTGCCAATAGTTGTTGGACAATTAACACATGGAAATGTAAGTGATCGATTTTAATATTATAAATTTTAATAATCTGTTTTATATAGGATATTTAACAAATCTCAAAAATCATTAGTATTTTTTCGTTGGGCAAGTTATTGTAATTGTCCAAAAATCTAATTTTTTTTTCCATATCTTCACGTTTCAAAAGTTTCTGAGCATATTTGGCATACCTTGAAAAAAAAAGATGTATGTGTGTGTAGTATATATGTATGTATGGATACAATTTTTTATCGACGTTTTCGGGAGCACCACTCACATTGAGCGGCTCAACCGATTTGAATGATTAAAAAAACATTCGATTCGTAATGATGGGAAGAAGGTCAGCCGTTTCAGAGATACTGAGCTAAAAGTGCAAAAATGGTATTTTTGGAGAGATTTAGGCATTCGATTCAAATGGTTTAAAAAATATTTTGCTTGTGAAGAGACGATTAGTTTTTGTGGAAGGAATTAGTTTTTTCTTTGATTTCAAAATTTCAATTTTTTTTCAATTTTTATTTTTTTTAATATCAAAAATAATTATGATTTTAATTTTAAATTTCTGGTTAAATGATGATTATTAATTTTAATTTTGTAAATCATTTTATATCTTTATATAATTCTTAGAAATATGAGATAAGCTCCTTTGTTCTAACTGCGATTGATCAAGTTTTGTTTGTTTCGTTTTCTTCAAAACATATATAAACGGTGTGGCCTAATTTATAAAGCCTTATATTTTGTCTATAAAATATGAATGTTGAAAGTTACATCATTTATAATTATCTATTAGAAAACATTTAACATTTCTCGAACATTTCATTAAGGCACGAAGACACTAGTTTGAATTATAGCTTTTAATACAACGATAGAATTATTTATGTCGAATCGTATAAAACACATAAAAATATATTTAATCATTTATTCCATATCCATACTTTATGCATGTTTGAGAATTTACATTACAGTCTGTTACTCCGTTTTTGCTGTTGTTATTTCACTTTTTTCATATTTTTACACAGTTTTTGTATAATTTTAATTCTTAGTTAATCTTAATTATATAGCACTTCAAGGTTTGTTTACCTCACAAATATTTTTTTAGTTTCTTAATTACTAATGACAGTATTTTTCGGTTTCGATAATTATCACATGATAATTTAGTCATCATGTTTTGTCAACAATATTACAGGCATTATTTATTTAATATTTTTGGTATTCAAATATAATTAGTTTTTATTTTATTTTTATAGTTTTAATGAATATAGTTTATATAATAATTTTCAAATATGAATGATTAATTTCTCATTATTTTTTTTAGTTATATTATTTTTTACATGAAGTTCATGTTATATAATGTAATTAAGTGAAAATAATATTTGTAATTATTGTTAACTTTATTTATTAAAGAATTTTTTTTGCAGAATATTGACTTGCTGATAAACATTTATATCGACGTTATTATATTCCAGACATTTTTATTGTTGCATCAATCATTATTTTAGGAAAAATGCTAGTATTGCTAGTGTATCATTATAATCGAAGAATATTTGGCCAGTTTATAATTCTTTTGTCATATTTTCAAATATAACTAGTGGGGCATGGTATTGTCAGGCAAATTGCTGGAACTTCTCGTACCGTAATTTAACACTAAATAGTTTGGTATACAAACGGAATTTTAGTCTCACTGGATGAATATTTAAGTTACAATTAAATAAATTCATATTTTTTATTGAAGTAATACCCGATTATTAGACTTTATATGCCATATCAAATTCAATATTATACAATATATATATATTAGGGCGGGTCGATTTAAAAGTCGCTTAGGCACATATGATTTTCGGATACTAGGGATCAAGATAAGATACTTTGCTGAAGAAACGATACCTTTAAAATGAATTTTGATGTCCCGTGCATTGACCCAATGATAGGGGTTGAATTTAAAAAAAAATCTATTATGACCCATTTAGAGAGCTCCAATCGCGTCTAAATGTATTAAAAACTCCAACTAACTTTGGAAGGCCAATCCATCCATGCGCATCCTCTATGCAAAAAATGCAAAAAATCATTGTTTGTGGTATTTTACTCAGCAAAAAATGTTTTTTAACCATTTTTTTCAAATATTAATTTATACACACACAAAAAACTTTTTCACAAAAAATTTTTTTGTTTTTTTTCCAATGCAGTTTGTCTCTGCGTTTCTTTGCTAGCGAGAGGCTGTTACGACGGCGGTATTTTCCAGAATTGAAACCAACTAGTAGGGCTCATGGCATCGTGCCTTAAGGCAAATTGCTGGAACTTCCCGTACCGTAATTAAACATTCGAGGAATGAAAAAAATCATTAATTGTTTTGAATAATTACAAATAGATTATTTATTACATATTGTAAACTTATAAGTGCTTTTTAAATTGAGCGACGAGTGTATTTTATGAACAACTTATGTGTACATTTACAAGAGTCCACTTTTTTTAATTTTTTAGATTATTTTGAAATTTTTTGATAATTTAGAAATTTTTTTTAGAAGTTTGAAATTTTTTGAAATTTTCAATTTTATAAATCGCTTATTCTATGCTATCGAAAATGTCGAGGACATTTGTTTGAACCACATAAATAAATTTTAAAATTAAAAATCTTGGTACGGAACCCAAAAAAATTACAAAAAATGTGTACACAGTATTAAAATTTCTATAAAATATCTCATAATTTGATGTGCATATGTCTAGTAAACATTTTTGACCGGCAAATGACTTTTTTAACTTAATTTTAATGACGCTGGTTCTGCCTTCCCAAAAATTTTACCAGTTGTTCATTTTGTCAATACAAGTAAAATGTTTTTTGAATGATTAAAATCGGACGTTCCGTTCTCTTAAAAACTGAGTTACCGTTTTTGGCATTTTTTGCCTCATATCTTCGGAACGGCTACACCTGCCTTTGGTAAAAATTAATCAGCACGTCTACTTATCTATACAAATCGAATGTTCTTTGAATTATTCAAATCGATTGATCGGTGTTCCCGAAATCGTCGACGAAAATTTGTATCCGCACACACTCACACGTGCGCACACACACACATACATCAATTTTTTTTAAGTAAGATATGCCACAATTTTCAGAAACCTTTGAAATGTAAAGATATATAAAAAATTTTATATTTAATTTTTTTTGCGATTACTATAACTTGCCCTACGGGAAGTTAAAAATGATTTATCAATAATAATTTATGAGTTTTACATTGCTTTATTTACATATGTTATGAACAAATAAATTTTATAATAAAAATAAATCGCTGACTTTTGTCATGTTGAAGTACCCAAAATGATGCAACTTTTGTATGGGGGACCTATAAAGCGAGGTCCCAAGGAGTGAACCATGGAAATGGGTATACCGGCCTTCCAAAGTTACTGCGGATAAGTCATACATTTGGAAACTACTGGGACGCTCTGAATGAGCCAAAAGTGGATTTTTCAAAATTTGACCCAATCTTTTTGTGAATGCACGAGACATCAGAATTCATTTTAGAGATATGGTTTCTTCTTCAAAGTATCCTATTTTGATCCCTAGTATACGAAAATCATATGTGCCTATGCGACTAATTGTTACCCATACAAATCGACCCGCCCTAATATATATATTATTTATTGTTTTTTTTTATTTCGACGATTGGCAAAAAATCAACATTTAAGAATATGTCTCACACACGATATATTGTTCATGGAGAGCAAAAAATGATAAAGAACGAATATTAAAATCTGAAGATACAAAAGTTTTTTGAGAGATTTACACAAACCTATGCTAACGCTGTAAATTTTTTCACCGAGTTTTTGCTGTCTCACTCTATTCGTTATGCATGTTAGAGCATAATTAAAAAATGAGTATCCGGAATGAATTAAGCAGCACATGAAAAAGGTTGAATCTGCAAATGTGCAAATTCAACTTAAATGAAATTAGTTTCAGATTAAGCTGGCACTTGCAATGACTGAATTGAAATGACATATTAGTCCAGTCATTTGGTGCAAAAAAAAGGCTGTTACCGGTACAGTACTCCGGGAATTCTAAAAATTGGTAATCTTATAGATTTCAAGGTGCTCTTTACGAAAATCAACTTTGCCACATCAAATTTGAACGGCAAGTTGCCGCCATATTGGAAAAATGGCGTCAAACAACAGCTTTTTTAAAATATCTCTTTTCTGGCTGATTCTACAATAAAAGTATCTGTGTACGAATTAAACTAGATAAAATTTTCTACAATTCCTTTGAGAATCGTTTTTTTGTAAAATTGATAGTTTGAGAGTACGGCCGCCTCAAAGTCTTTGCTGCTCTCGCCGTAGAATTCAATCTCTCCATATATGACAGCACTTCGAACTTGACCACATTCTCTCTAATAATTAATATTTTCAATGTTAAATTAAGCGAATTCTCGGGGTACTGTACCGGCAAAACGACCAAATGACTGGACTATATATACCCCATTAACAATTATATTCAGAATGCTTTGTGGGTAAATCATCCATATTATTTGTGTCAACTGCCTCTTTGACTTATATTTCACATACTTCTATATTCACAATCAGTTAGTTATTTTTATATATTTTTTTAGAAATACTTTTTATAACTAAACAATGTTTTTCGGGTCAGCTAGTATGTATATTAAAATATTATCCCATCTTCTTACCAGCAAACAGTAGCAGCTTGGAGTTTAGTTTTCCGAGTAGCTGCTGGCTTGTATGTAATTGAAATTGCCCTGTATTCCCTCTGGGGTTCCGGTGAGCAACAATTATGGGCGACGGGCGAGGGCGCCGAGGCGGTGCCTCTGCGTACTCAGGAACCTGAATCAAGATACGATGGTGAAACTCAACCTGTGGAGCAGTCGTCTCAATCGCCGGAAAAGGAATAAATTGGTTGTATCTAATTTTAATTTAATTTGAGACAGTAGGGTAGAGCGGGTCTAAAAGGTCCACGGATAAAATATATATGAAATACACCGATATATGAAAAACAAGTGAAGTTAAGAAAAATATTTGAAAGTAAAGGGAAAAAGATGTATAACCAAACAGCCATCACATTTATTCTTACGACGTTGCTTTTAGAAGATAAACGGCATTCGTTGTTAGTTTTTTTAGTTGTGAACACTGTTGTTTAGTTAACGAGACCTAATTATAATTTTTAGGTGTACGTTATTTAATTTGAAGTTAGCACTAACAGTTTTTTATAAAATGTGGCTCAAATGGCACGGGTGGGCTAAAATGTACCAACTGAACCTTTACCCTGGAAAAGGTTTAGACAAAAAAAAAATAGTAAATTAAAACGTAAATTGAGTTAAAGAAACAAGAGATAAAGACAGTGTCATCTCTGTAAAAAAATGTGCCTATAAAATTTATATTTTGCATTGGTTGAATAATGTAGCTATCATTTTGTAAAATCACTTTAATTTTAAAATAAGATATTGGACCTATTTGTCCCTTGGTTGTCTCATTTTACCCTTATAAGGTAAAAAGGACCAGGTTTCTGAAAAAAAATACGATGATGAATTAGCAGGGAGTTTTACTGAACATAGTCAAATAGTTGTTTGTTTGATATGTGTTATTTATTGTGGTTTAATTGATTTGGCTTTTAAAATATTAGTACTCGGAATTGGACCTTTGTGTCATGTTCTACCCTATCGATCAAAATACTAACGATAAGGTTAGTAATTTACAGGTTTTGAAAAATATTTTCAAAACAAATTATTATTGCTAATGATTGAAACATTCAATCTTAGAGCTCTAATTTATTTTTGCAGTTCTTATATTACGTATATACGGTAAGTTTTATTTGTACTATCATCAGATGACAGGAAATCTCTAAAATCATTATTTGTTTAATCATTAGATAAATAGCACAGTACGTGAGTACGTTCTGTGATTTTTATGATACTTTATGACACGTTTCAAATTATATTATATTTGTAGGATTAAAAAGAAAAAAATGTTATTTTTAATAGCATTATATTTTTATGAAAATTAGCTATTTGATTAATTATATGACGTTATATTTTAGGCGTTAACCTCGAACTTACGTTAATGCTATAAGCTGTAAGCTTGTTGTGAGCTTTATGTGGCTTAAATAAATTCTTATTAATTTTAAACAAATATATTTGGGAAGCTTTTTACATTATGTCACAAGTAACGAAGCTAAATTATTAATGTCAATTAAATAATTATTTCTATCACATAATGAATAAATTAAAACAAATGTAAAAATATGAAGATATAGCGTACTGATTTAGGTTTTATTAAGACAGAATTTACCTTTCTTGTGCCATTATTGCTTATTACTATTTTTATTATCTATATAATAAACTGACGCAAACTATAAATAAATTATGCAATTGATACTGTAATTTTCGTAATTGCGTTCACAAAGCCTGTAATCCAACTCTACTTGACATAATGCAAATGTAAATTGAGCATAACAGTATAATTTTCTATTTGAATTCAGAAGAATTGCACGCAGAAAAATCAAATTTAAAATGTTGTAAAAATAATTTAAATATTATAATACTTGTGTCGTCCCGATTAATGAAAGAAAAAAAAATTGCAATTATTACAAAGTATATGTCTATTTAAATAATAATATAATGGCACTCCAAACTAGTTCAATAATGAATGCAATGACATTCTAAAAAATATAAGATAATAAATATTAGTCAAAATTAACTTTCGTAATTAATATATTGTATATCACCGCGATGCCAATTAATTGTATTCCATTTATACATTTTAAAATATATGTGACAATTTATTTTGCCAATTAGATCGCATGACAACTGTTTCAAATATGAGAATCTAGATATAACTGAGAAACAAAATTTTTATCAGAACAACAATTCCAAATGTATTAAATTTTTAATGTATTTTGAACATTTGGTTTAATTTTAAAAGTTTTTAAATTTTATATATATCTAATATTACTTACATATTGAACCATGTCCGAAGATCGTAAAAATGATCCTGGTCCGGGAGACTCGGTTTTGGAAAGTGATAGTGAGAGTTCTAATACAGATCATGTCGTACCTGATGAAATATCTATTCAAAATGAGCCCGCTGAAGCAGAGGCCAGGTCAGCTGATAATCATAATGATGAATATTCGTTTAACGATGAGGATAATGAAACACGTGGATCTGATAGACCAATTGAAACAATACAACTTCGTATGTACTTTGATAATATACCAGAGCGATCCAATCATGCCGATCTAAGGACACCATCTTCCGACGACTTACCAGATGTTATACTGGTACTAACGAAATATGAAGAATGTCACCCTTATCCTTCCGCCTCATTATCTAATGTTACTAACATGTCAGCGCCGGCTATTTCTAGCGGGTCTTTGACTGAAACTTTAAAAAGGCAAAACTCTATTCGTCGAAACAAATACAGGCCAGGAGTTGCGAAAAGACCGCGTAGACAATTTGTATGTACAATTTGCCAATTAAAGTTTGAAACTCCGGATCTTTTAGACCACCACGTAGATCGGGTACACCTAGAAGCCTCGCTTTCCAATTCAGACGATGAGGGCTGTGACAATGATCATGGAGATGGCGAGTCAGAAAGACCGTCCGATAGCGACGAAATTTAAAGATAGGAAGATTTGTAGTAAAATTTGTTGGAAAATTTTGTAGCAGACAGTTCTCAATCTCAAGTATTAAACTATTCTAGCATTAAGCAAACTAGAGACTCGGAAATCATAAAAATACAGGATTTGTACAAGACCCTTTTTGGATTACTTCAAATGAAAACATTTCTTCGAACATTTGCGCATGAATTAAAAAGAAATCTTATAAAGTCATTTAAAAAACTATGGCATTGACAAATATATTAGTATTTTTATTTATGAAAGTATTTTTATTTATGATTATTTTTATTTATGAATTATATTTCCATAATTCATTGAGGATACGGTACCAACGAATGTCAAAAAAAATTTCAACATATCATGAAAATGTATTATTTTATTAAGATCATAACAAACTCTAAAGTATTTCAGAATACAAAAATTAAGTATTTTCATATATAAATTACAAGTATACCGGAACATATATATATATATATATATATATATATATATATATATATATATATATAGTATATGTTAATTTTTTATAATTTTGATGTTGAGATATGTGAGATTCAGTCTTCAGGGCAATACATCAATTAAAAACTTGTATGACTTTAAAACATTTTTATTTTTTCCATACTAGTTTGAAAGCACAGATAGAAATTATTAATTAAAACTAATATATAAGAAGTGATAATGAACTAATATATATGAAGTGATAGAAAGTTCATACCATATCACTTCTTATATATTAGTTTTAATTAATAATTTCTATCTGAAGATGACACAAAACAATGTGTCGTATGGAAAAAATAAAAATGTTTTAAAGTCATACAAGTTTTTAATTGATGTATTGCCCTGAAGACTGAATCTCATATATATATATATATATATATATATATATATATATATATATATATATATACTCGTATATATTGAAATAAATAAAACAGCCAATGCGTCGAATGTAAAGATTTATTTTAATTTTTTATACGTTTCGAGACTAGATGTGTTTCATCATTCAGCTAAAAGAAATTTACATTATAAGAAAAAGTTTTAAAAAATGAATTTATACATTGGAAAAATTAATTGAAAACAACAAATTATACACACCAGATCAGGAAAAACCACACTATACTAACACATTTTACAACACCACAATCACGTGATCATGTGATTAGATCAAACATTTTAAACATTCTCAATTATCTCTAATTTTATTCATGTTACTTTTATCAAATTTTTATTAGAATTTTTCATAAATGTAAAGATACATGCCTGTTATTATATTTATAGAACGCATTTTTTTAATAGGAAACCTATTACAAATACAAAACTAGCTGTAAGTGGAATTCTGTCTTAAGGCAATTAAGGCATCGTGCCTTAAGGCAAATTGCTGGAACTTCCCGTACCAAAAATTATTATTTTTTTAAAAACGATTAACATTTTTGAAAAAAATGTACTTTGAAAAAATAAGATTTTTGAGAAACTATATATATGGACAAAAAATTAGTTTTTTTGAAAAAAATTTTTTTTTAAAAAAAAAAAAAATTTTTAATTTTTTTTTTTGAAAAAAAAAATTTCTTTATTTTGACATATTGTGGAAGATCTGAACTTTTTTTTCAAAGCAATCGTACTGATTTAACTGCATAGGGACAAAATATAAAGCGCGTAGGCGCCGCGTCGCCTACGGAACCCATAGGAATGTTAACAAAATGTATACTTATTGTCAAAATCTCTATAAAATATCTGATAATTTAATGTGCATATGTCTAATGATCATTTTTGACCGCCAAATGGCTAATTTTTTTACTTTTTCCTCCATATCTCCGAAACTGCTAGACCTACCTTTATGAAAATTTTATCGATTCTTCATCTTGTCAATAGAAGTGAAATTATTTAAATCGGACGCTTCGTTCTCTTAAAAACTGAGTTACCGTTTTCGGCACTTTTTTCCTGCCTTCGCCAAAAACTAATCAGCACGTCTCCTTATCAATACGAATCGAATGTTTTTTGAATTATTCAAATCGGTTGATCCGTGTTTCCGAAATCGTCGACGAAAATTTGTATCCGCACATACATACACACACGTACATACATACACACACACACACACATACATCCATTTTTTCTAAGGTACGCCAAAATGTTCAGAAACCTTTGAAACGTAAAGATATATAAAAATTTTCATTTTCGATTTTTTTGCGATTACTATAACTTGCCCTACGGGAAGTTAATAAATCAAAATTAATTCAAATTCGGAATAATTATACATATTTAAAATAAATTTCAATTATTATTAGTTGAAGGTCAAAATTTTTAAATAACAATATACAGCTGTTATATAGTTTATTTCATGGCAATAATATTTTGTTCTGTAT